CTAGGCTAAAACGGGAACCAGCTCGGGTCAGTCGAGGGCCCAGCGCGACGCACGCGAACTCCATAATTCACAATGGCGTTGCTCGCGCGACTGTGAGAGAAGGGTCTATCCAGCGAGCCAGTCGTATCTCAATTCTCGCGTTTTATATATATATATATATATATATAGTATGTAACTATCAGCGTGTGCCAGGTAACGAGAAAATCCTCGAGATGATTGGATACCATCGGAACATCTGATTCCGTGGCACGTGCGCGATTATCATCCTGGCCATAACTGCGTCCGACCGGGACAGCTCGTAATCGAGATTTATGGGAAACGAATTTCCTTGGCGGGTAAACATCGACAGTGATATCTTGATGGAATGGCTCGTGGAGATGGGCGAGGACTTATTTTCGTGTGATGATATCGGGCTGTTACGTACGTCGATTTTGTCTGCCAGCTTTGCGTCAGGTGAAAGTAGGGGATCTCGTTTGTATCGAAATGCTTTACTTGTTAGACGTTTTTTTTAACGCTTGTTCACTGTTCGATAAGATGTTGCATTAATATTTCTTGAATTATACTGGGTCTGAGGTAAGGTCGAATTAAGGAAATCTACGCTACTTGAATCAATTAGAGGATCGCTACCGTGTATGGGCCTATTGTTCCACTTGATCTGAAGAAAATGAACGCTTTCAGGTCAAAAATGTATATTCTTCACCATGATCGTTTGAACCTAAAACTTCCGTGTCTCGATAACTTCAACAGGCTTCCCCGCCGTTGCATTAACACCGCCGATACTTGTTTCCGCGCACGTTCCTGATAAACGACTTCTGCGTTCGAAGTTTCTAAAGAGGGAAAACGTACCCTCGCCGCGGGATTAAAATTTTTAATATAACCCTTTGAGAGGAGACGAGGCGCATCACCGAATGGCCCCGATAAAAACCTCTCGGCGGTGTGGCCGAAGGAGAAAAAGGAGGAAAGAAACGAATTTAATGAAACACGAGAAACCGCCGAACAAAATCGTGTACTTGTAATGCAAATACGTCTTGGACCGGTCCCGGGAGGGGCCGAAAAATGAAAAGCCTCGAAACAGCACGGGAGTACGAAATCGACCGTTCCCATCGTTCTTCCGTTAATCCGATTTCGAATTCTTCGACGGCTCCGAATCAAACTCCCCTCGCCTGTTCCCCTGCTAGCTTGCTTAAAAAATCCTAATTCCTTTCTTTTAATTACCTCGGGGACTCGGTTGATCGTCAAACCGAGGGCACGCGTTGAATCCTTATTAAATGAAATCCGAAACGGCGGAAGTATTGGAATCGACTCTTGTCGCTGTGGTTAATTAACAGTTCTCCGGTAAATTTGGTGTTTGTCGTTTTATATCAAGATTCTTCGTTTAGTTTGTATTTTAGAATGAAATACTCGTTCGATAAGTCGATAAAAAAAAATATATTCAACGAGATATTTCATGTTTTGTCCAAAGACAGCCTTTCAAGGGGACTCTAACAATAACACAGTTGGATATCACGGCTTCGCAGAAAGGACTCTCGGCTACTTCTATGGCGTTTAAACGAAGCAACTGTAAGACATCCGACGAAGTCGCCAGTCGGTTTGTCAAGGAGGGCGTGTCCGTCTCGGAATCCCTGTAACACCTATTCTACCTGTGCTTCCGATTCAAAGCCTGAGCTTTGCCGTATGAATACATGCATTAAGGTTGGATGCCGGGGTTAGACGCACAGTCGACATTGTCGGTGAGATACTGTATCTGGATTTCCGGAAAGAGGACCCTGTCCGCCATTAAATTCACTTCAGACGTGATATCGTTAGCATTTTCTTTTCGAGGGGGAGACTCGTCTCGTATGGTGTTGAACATCGAAATTGATTTTGTGGAGACGATTTTTTACCGAGACCATGGTGCGATCTGTCAGTTTTTTTTAGTATCTGTTTCGAGTAAACATTTTTATCAACATTCTGTATATCGAAGCAACCTGTTTTTCTTGTTTGTTCTTTTGTTCGCCACAAATGAATTTTAGTATCGCGTTCTGCGTGGCGTCGTCGGTTGTTATCTATAAGCAAGAGACACCTGTGTCTTAATTAAAGTTGGCTGTACCAACGCGACTAACTTATGTCTACCTCGGTTTAGGTTCTTGAATACGGCTACTGATTCCCGCGCCTTTCATCGTACAACTTTGATTTATTTATACTTGGAACGGAACGTCGCCTCGGATTCAAATTTCGGTACCGTAGGCAAGACGAAGTTTTAATTAGCCTCGAAGCTTCGCGTCATTCATTAACATTCACCGGGTAGATAGTAACTCGTGTCAATTTTATAAAACTGAAGATTAAAAATGAATAATACAGAACGAAGAACCAGTTACGAGCCTCGTCGAATAACATTTCTCAGGAGAAAAATTTATCAAATTAGCACACGTGACGGGCGAGTGTTAATTGTTAATACGAACAAAACTCTTATTCTAGGTAATACAGACACTATTATCTTTATTAACCAAAAAGTAGTAACTGGAACGATTCATTCCTTTCCTGTGACGCAGCATCTTCATACCTCGGAAGCGAGTATCCTCTTTAAGAATCCGGTTGGGTAGCGCGACGGGGTAGTTCTCCTTGGTCTTTACTATGTAAAACAGCCTCTATTCCCTTTTGTCCATCGGTCGGGTCACCCCTTCGGTGTTAAAGTTCTGGCCGACACGTCCACGGCTCCCGTGAACTGTAAACGGACAAGAGTTTATCGTTTTCCGGTCCGTTCGATATTTATGTAGTATCTAAAAAGGTGTATTCCCCCGGATCCACGGAATCTTTTCACATTTTCATGTACCGTGCCTTTGAATCTTCCTTCCACCCTCGGCGTTCTCGTACTTTTCGCCTCGTTCGCGACATTTGAGAAATGCCCCCGGACCTTTTGTTCCATTTCACTGGATCTCATGCCGTGATTTATGCGTTCTGCAAATATTCTGTGATGGAAATTAATTATAAATACAAGCTTTAAGGCTTTAAGCTTTGGAAAACCAAATTATGTAAAAGCTTTCGGATGAAATAATATCCGATATATTAGCCTTTTGATTTATTCAACGTGTTGATGTTATATGGGATAAACAGTGAAAAATTTGAAAAAAGTTATCGTAATCAACTACAACTATTTTCTGTATTTTTATTTCTGCCATGCACTTTTTTTACCAGAACTGCATTTGATAAAATATAATGGATTACTTATTGGTACGCTTAATAGATTAAAATACTCACCGTAATACTCAGATATTTACTGTAATACTTCTTACATTTTTGAAGCACTGCAACGCGGTCCGTGTATGTGAATCCCTATTTCTCACAGAACCCGAATCCACGGTATCATTTACATTTTTCTACTAAAACGAACACCCACGATATCCTCGTCGCTTACCATAAATCGCGGCAACGTTCATCACCGTGCTCCCACGCGAGAATCCTCAAGAAATCAATATCCTTAATAGATTTCCAACCCGAAAACAATTTTTAACGTATTTTCCGTAGGATTCACTTCCACGCTGGCACGCTCGTGACCAACCTGTTTCCTTGAACGTCGCCGCCGGCCGCGGATATAAACACGTCCCCGGAGGATTTATAGCCCGGAGGCACCGAGGTCCCGAGTATTTCGCGACGACGACAGCATGAACGTAATCACGTTGAAGACAGTTCACTTGGCCAAGCTTTTTCGGCGCCCTTATAAATGGGCCGCTATAAACGTTCCCCGGGTGTGACGTCTCGCCGCCACGAAACGCAGCCGGGGCAGGACGACGGTTGGCGGCTAGGGAGGCTGCACCATTAGCTTCCAGGTGTTCGATATCCCAAGCCACACGACGTCGTCGTTTCACCCCCCTCACCCCTCAGTTTCCACGCGATCATGCTCCAGATCATCCCCCCTGTCTGCACCCCCGAATGGCGGTATAAGTTTCGCTATCCTATCGACGATACAACGGAGATAGCGGCGTAAACAACGGAAAGGGAAACGAAGAGACGGAGTGTAATCCCCACCCTCCTCTCGTATAATCCCCAAGAGTTCTTGGAAATCGCGGTTAATGGGGTTTCTAAACTTCCACGCGGCATGCATCGCGACAGCCATGGAAACCCGCCTTATTCCCGTCCGAGGCGAGTTGGAACGTTCCTCTAATTTGCAGTGAGGTTGCCTGGGAATTAATGAGATCGTTGGATCATGGTTCGATTATCGAGGGTAGTCCGTTTGAAATTGGACCACCTGTTAAAGAATCGTGGTGTCTGGGGCGATGATAAATGATTCGTTGCGTCTGAATCGCAGAGGCAGAGTCTACGAGGGGTGTTTCCAATGTTTTCGGAATTGTGTTATAAATTGTTTCCGTTTAACTGTATGCACTTGTCCCAGCGCGAAACTAGTTCTTTTAGGCTATGAGAAAGTATTGCTTGGGTGTCTTTTCGTTATGTCGTTTTAATCCTGAAATCGTCCATCACACAGAGATTTTTTTCAATTTTTTTTTTCAACTTAATATTATTTCTTTTCTATTGTAATAAAAATTAAACGACTTAAAACGAAATCATTTTTGCTGAAGTTTCAGTGGAATCGAGTGTACAGTATTGTTGCAAAAAATTTTTCAAAAACATCTTCTCCTGTCATCGTTAAAATGGCGTGGTTCTTTAATACGTCCGGTGAACGCGGCCATTTTTAATCGCAATTTCGATGGTATCATGTGTGAGAACGGATCGGGCAAAGTTCCCCCATGGTAACCTAATTAATGGTAACTTAATTAATAGCGCAGTATTCAATGTGCTCGGACTGTCTTGTGGAACAATGTGTGTCTGGATGCGAATCGATATTTCGAAGTACCCAAGGCAGCTTGTACGTCTTCCCGTTATGCGCTGGCAAGATTAAGAACGCCCCGTCGCGTATTACGAAACGTTCCGCATAAATAAAGCTTCGTGTATGAACCATAAGAATAGCGACCAGCCTTATGAGTCAGCGGAATTATGTCACTTGGATGATGTATTACTTTCCTCGTGAATCTATTTATTAAATACATATTAAAATACACTGCCAGACAGTATTTGATAAACATTAAACAGAAACATTTCATTTGGGTTAGTTTTGACACGTTCACTGCGAATTCATATTCGATAAGTGTCCCAATACACACGAGCGCGGGGGTGTATCTAATTCAGGGAGAAATTTTAATCGGCAAACTGGCAAGATCTTTCGTGGGCGTGTTTTCTCGACGGATGAAACAGTTCGGTGCATCCGTGCTGCATGAACATGCACTCCTCCATTCTGTAATTGCATTTTTCCTCGTGAGCCTCCGCGCGTCTACGCTTCGGTCTCACCCTGCACCCGTGTTCGGCCCATCTGCAAGGGACCTGCTCGTCCGGATCGTGCTCGGTCTCTGACTCGCTAGAATCATCGTCGTCTTGATGATATTTTCCGTAGTTACATTTCTCTTGATGTATCAGCTTCCTACGTCTGGGCATGTTCACCATACAACCGTGTCTTCGGAATTTACATTCCACCAGCTCCTCCGGATCCCCGTGTTCTTCGCTCGTGACCGTTATCTCCTCCAACGCCTCGGTAATATCGTGCACCGCCTCGAAACGTTCCTTATAGTTGCAGTAATTCTCATGAATCGGGACCCTCCAGGGAGACGTCCTTACTTTACAGCCGACGATTCGGTGCTTGCACTCGACCAACTCGTCGTGCGCGTGAGCCACATCGGTGGGAAGGTGTTCTTCCTCGAGGTGCGGTCGAAATTGACATCTGCGGTGCACAGACACGTTTTGTATTAGGTTGTTGCACATAAAATGATCGTTTTATTGCTACCGTTTGATATTATATTGAACATTAGACAAATTTTGTTAGGCGAAGTGAAATTGAGTAGGCTCTATACATGGTTTTCATTGAAATAGGGGAGAGTGGGTAGGTTTGGGTCAGTTTTCAATTAATTTGTAGTAGTGATTAAAGTGAAAGAGAGGTACGGTTTAAATCTGATGAATTGAAATTAGTAAGGTCTTACCATCGATGTTCTATCATGATTTCATTTTATTATTTCAGCGGAATCTTTAAAAATATAAGAAGAAAAAATCTCAGTACATAAAAGTTTCGAAGAATTTGCTTCGCCTTACCGAGATACGTGTAGATCTATCAAGTGCTCCGGTACCTTCACCCAACATCCTAGATGAGCGTACGAGCAGGATTTAAGTTCCTGGTCGTCAGACGGGGCGGGCGGATACCAGTTCCTCTCGTGGTTCAGAAAATCCTCCATTACAGGTGCGCTCGGATACTGTTCGTGGAATTTTGGCGGAAGTAGATGAGGCAAGAAATGGGTGGGCGGTGGTGGCGAGTAAGAGGAACCAGCGTGCGCGGAGGGCATTTCCATGTCTAATGGCGACGTACAGGTCGGACAAGCGTAATAGTACGGTTTGCAACGGTAACATATCGTGTGACCGTTGGTGCAAGTGTATCTGAGCGCAAATTCCATTTCCATGAGACAAATCGGACATACGCCTTCGCTTTTAAATCTCTCGTGTAGGTTCGGGTATAAAGAATCCATTATCTGGGGAAAGAAATAATCCCAGTATACAGGGGGATTGAAAAAACATATTCAAATTCAAATTTGTGATTCGAAGAGTTTAAGCGTGGATGTTTGTGGAAATTCAAATTTTTGTACGTTGATTTGTAAAAACAAAATAAATGGACATTCGTTATCTTCGACAAAGGTTCTATAATATTAAGAAACTTTTGATTGTATTGTATCACGGTTCATTAATCTTAATGTTACATTAAAAATTATATTCCATAATAATATTACATAGCATTCCGCTTATGACAATGAATTTACATAAACATTCGCAATCTATTTATGACATTATGCCGCAGCGGGACGGTGCGTTGAATTATTTGGCGTATCAGTTATCAATGTAACAGAACTTGTCAAAATTGTCTTCGCCAAGGCCAGTCTTAAAGCTGTTAAGAACAATGCGAAACGTACGTTCCAGTTGCGTCAGATAAGAATAACGTTTAGTCAGTTGGCTGGTTATCAAACCGGATGACTTGAACAATCAGAACGGACTTTAGTCATCTTTCGATTAGATATTTCGATTAAATATAAGGTGTCTCAGAACAAAATGATTTCTTTGAATTTAGTACAGTATACAGGGTGCTACTTTTAACTCGAGCACATCAATTATTTCCGCTACTATTGAAAGTAAAACAAAATGACTAAATAGGATGTAGAGTAGATCCTCGATAAGTGTTCGAAGGCTCCACGGCATTGACAATGAGAGGTCCTCAGGCGTAACGCTGACTTTTTAACGAGCTTTAGCACAGTGATAGAGCATGACATTCTGAAGCCAATGATTGTTGTTTCAGTCTCATATGGTACTAGTACGTAGTACCAGCACAGCGCATAGCCAACTCTACCGCGGGAGCTCAGCCGACAGTCTCGTGGTCTGATTGGTCGAGGTTTTTCGTTAATATCTCTCTAACAAAACTTCGGAGAACTTTTTCGCTAAGGAAAAAGTTGTTTCAAATCACCCCAGGAATCACCCCTTTCAAGGACTTATACATATTTTGAGACACTCTGTACATACATATATATATATATATATGTATACGAGACACAAGCGGATTACAATCGATCGTGCCTGAATTTACTCACTCGACTTCGTTGTTTCGGTCCTTGCAGCGTCGCCCGGTGCGAAACTGAAATTACGAACAGCCCGAACCGTGTGGGTAGGGTGGTAGGGCGAGAAAGAATGAAAGATAAAACAAAAAAGAATAGCCGTCGCGGCACGTATCACTCCGTAACTATGGGTACTGTGCGTGTGTCATCGTCGAACTGTCAGCGGGTCCCTTATTTGCCAAGACCGATAGCGCGCGACTTTATCTGATAAAGCCCACGTGACGCGAGAAACCATTCTCTCGCGCCTCGTGTCGAGTCGTCTACGGTTGGACCCCGCGATGTTCCTCCTCCTGGTCGCGGGAAATGAAATCGGCGGAGGGGAAATCGCTCGTCGTCGTTTTCACGTTTACTATGCATACTGCGACGACGGTAGGTAACCGACGCATTTATTACGACGGCGTGTTCCATCGCTGGGAACGACTGAAAAGATTGGTGATTTCACAGGAATTTTTCCTTTCGTTTTTGTTTCGTCGCTCATGGGTGGAATTAAATATGAATTTGCTGGGCGTCGCCATTTTCTCGATTGTACTATTCAGGACACCCAGTATACACCAGATGATTATCGTAACCTTAAATGGAGGTGTTTATCGATATTCATGGATAATGTTGTCCCCGCCGGAACTTTTAATTCCGCGTTCGATACGATAAAGTAGCCACGGCGTAACGTCGAACGTCGTGACGTGTGACGGATTTCTGTTTCCACTTTGATTACTTGACCGTTCCCCCGGTGACAGTTAATTATGAATGAAAAATTGTTACCCTCGCCGAAGCGTGACCCCTCGGCTACCGCAGGTGCTCGTTACGCAGCATCCATTTTGGTCCCTCCGATGGTCAGTATTGATAATCTTCGCGTGAAATCTGGGATTATGTTTCACGGCACCGATCCTTGGTCCCCTGTTGCTTCGAATATTTCAGCGACGGGGATCGGTTACAGTTTCGAAACGTCGAGTGCTGCTTTGAAATTAAAATCCTTTGTGTGAATAATTTTATCTGTCACTGTATTTTTTTTCTCAATATAGTAATACAAAATTGTGTAAAGACGCATTAGCACAGTTAGTTCTTTTGTAATAAGTATATTAAAAGAGGTGAAGGGAGTGTAATAGTAAAAAGCATATTATTTGAGAACTTGCGAAAAAATAGTGCGAAGTTATGAAAATGATTAATATGTATTCTGTTAGCCGATAAACTTAATACCGAGTGCGTAGCCTTCGACGTTTTGGGCGTTAACTTAAAATTATCTTAACGATTTCAAACACATTTATCGTTTCACCATAAAATGTACAACGAGATAGTAGGTTCGTTAGTATTTTAAATGTTCGTTAGTATGTACAATGGTTCTCTCTCATTAATGCCACTTTGAGCTCATTAATCTGCTCGTTTTCCATTTGCACACGAAACGAGTATTGATTAGGCTGGCCTGTTATTACACTCGCAACTTTAATTGCACCAGACTGTGAAATATATTCGATTATTACTCTGACTATCAATGTTATCGATTTCCTGTTTCAAATACTAAAATATTTTAAAATCACCTGCTCTGTTACTGTAAACCTTTGCACCACGTAAGAACAATGCGATACGTAGTCAGTATACAATATTTACTTCATTATTTCAGTAGTTTCTATAGGATTAAGGGAGTTGAAAATCCTATCATTTGTTCAGTATTCACCGAATATGGAATAAAACTGGAATTTCATGTTTAACACTCGCGTGGACCCTAACAGATCAATTATAACGGATGCAAGTGGCAGGGAGCTCGAACAATTCTTTCTGAACTAATGCGGTGATTTCCATGCTGTCTCGAACTTTCGCCGTTAATTCGAGGCCCGTAATGAAAGCGCCTCTCTCCTTGCCCACCCTGCACACGCTGCGCGGAAACCAAATACGCGCGTATGATATTCTACACCCCCGTCCTGCCCTCATAACGACCATCCCTCATTTGAATCCCTACGCGAACGTCACATCAAAGATATCCGAGGCGGGCCATCGTCGACAACGGGGGTAATACCCACTGACCATAAGTCACTTATGTAAATCCGCGAGATGGAAACATGCGTCGCGACGCGGTGTTGCTGGACGTCCACGACGAAACAAATTGAATTTAATATTCAACGTTTCCACGTCCAACGGTCATCGTTGCCGGCGGCCGTCGTAACATCGATATTGTGCGATTAATGGTAATTTTTTCATTCAGAACGTCAAAGTTTTATTCATGAAAAAATTAGAAGCAACGATAGAAGCGGAAAAAATCCTTTGGATGTTGTTGGTTAGGCAGTTTATTCATAAAAAAGGTGAAAGCAACGATAGAAGCAGGAAGAATAATCACTGGTGTCCATGTCATAGGCCACCCTCTTGTAAGTCGATACCTGTACAGTATACTGATTCGTACTGACAAGCCTCTGTAAATTATAGCAAGTATTTTTATTTATTATTATTCGTTATTTTCCTTCCGTCCTTTTAGCATACAGGACAAAATTAAATCAGACAAATTGATCTTCCAATCAACTAGCAATTTTTTATCCTTTCACAAAAATGAATGGAAACAGTTTCAGTTAAATGCAGAATTTTCTTTATGTGTAACTTCACAACGTTTATTTGTTATTTCAAGTAAAATAGGCTAGGATGACAATAATTCGGTAGGTGGCAGTAAATGGGTCTCTCACCCTATGTAATATTTATTCTACTCCTCTGTTTGACTATGCCACGTATCATCTCCCGATACACAGCGTCACAATGTGATATATCGTCGTCAGACAGTGAAAAACGGACACGTTTCTTAGGTTCCCGATATTTCAGACGCGTTATCTGAATCGCTTAGCCGCTAGGGGGAACCGACCTTCTTAGTTCTACGCGCGGGACACCGTTCCCGCGATAATTCGTCGCGTCTTATTCTTTTGAGTCATTGTCTCGTGTTTTAATGGGTCAATGAAACGGGGGCCACGGTGGGGTAGGGCTTCTTATAAAACACCTTAATGAGATGCTTCTCCCTTTCTGCCATTGAATTCGCCACGGAATGTTTGAGTGCGAAAAGAAAAGGAGTCGAGGAGCGGAGCAGACCAAATAACCTCGTGATTGCGGCTCGATAGGGGAAGAGACTAATTTATTCGCGTTTGCTGCTTCTTTCACCTTATCGAGGTATACTATTCGCAAATTTCTGAATTTACAGCACATGATCACTTTAATCACCCTGCATAGCAAAGCTCCGATCAAAGCTGTGCGTACAGCTGAATTTAAATGAACATCGATTAACTGGAAATAATTCCATTCGCTACAAAGTTCTGAGTAGTACAATATTCGTTTTCATTCTATTCACAAGATGGAATTGTTCACAGAAGTGCTGTAGTATCGATGACATTCAACGGAAATCTCGCTTTCGTTGGTCCATCAGCGAACAACATAGAGGCCGTTCAATCGGATCGTAAGCGAACGCGATAACTGATTACTTCTTTACAATAAAACGGCCACGTAGGGGATGGAAGATCGATTACGTCTCGGGTAAGGAGAGCCCTGAGAATACGCACGAATCAATCACGCAGCTAGTTGGCGGATTAAGCTTCACAATGCCCTTCTATATCACCTGTATCGATCAGGAACGAACGACGGAACAACGGAAATTCCCTGCACGACCGATTCGAATAAGCAATCCCGGATAAACGAGACTGCGTGTCAACAAATCACACACCGATCACGTTCGACGATGTAACCATTGATCGTGACGCGTTTCCATAAATAAACGATCGATGGTAGCACGATAGTGTTATGCTAAAAAAAAAAAAAAAAAAACGAACGACACCGAGATTTATCTGGTTCACGAGGGAAATTTAATTGTTTCAATAATCGATCGATCTATTCGGCTTACGGTGCAGAAT